CCGCCGCTTCTGCCCGGAGCAGCGCACTCGGTGCCCCAGAGTCCCCCCGAGCTGCCCAACGGCCCCCTTCCTGAGCTGCACTCTGACCCCTCAGCCCGCAGGAGAGCCGGCTGCGTCCTCCCCTGACCTTGCCTCCCGCGAACGGCGTCTGTGTTCCCCGTCTCCGGCCCTGCCCGCGGGGTCGGTGTGGGGATTCCTGTGCTGCTGCTGGGCCCCGGACCCGTGACGGTCACGCCTTAGCTGCTTCAGGGGAGTCGCGGGAGGAGCGAGTGGCCGACGGAATGGGCAGTGTGACGGGCCCTTGGCTGGGCCTGGTGGTCGCCCGCATGTCTCTGCAGCAGCCTCGGGGGCTGCAGGACGCGCGAGGTGTGAGTGAGGCGGTGCCTCCCCAGAGAGAGTTCTGGCCTGCGCCGTGGCGTGTGCTCTGGTTCAGTCCAGACCCTACCACCGCCACCCCCGGCCCCGGGCGCTCGTGCTGCCCCGCGGTGGGGCGCGCAGGTGGACCTGCAGCCCCCTGACCCTTGAGCTGGCGGAGCCCTGTGAGAGCAGGAGGCTCCCTGGGCCTTCCTGCCCGGCGCCGCGCCGAGCGGGCCCTGCCCTGCGGTGGGGGGCGCTTGTGCAGGCCCAGCGGCGCGGGATGGCTGGCCCAGCCGCACTGTGCTCCATGCGCGGGGCCTCTTGGTCCAGCCGGTGTGGCCGTGGGGTTAGATGCGGGCGGCGGCGGCGCTGGAGCTGAGCGTCAGGCCCGTCTCTGCTCTTAGCACCGCCTGAGAGTGTCCCTGTGAAATTCCAAGCACGTGGGGAAAGAGAGACTCATTCACGGTGTGACTGCCCCCCCCCCCTTCAAACATCCCTCGCCGCTGCTCCTCCGCCTTTCATTTTCCCGAGGATCTAGGCCACTGCCGCCAGCGCAGACCGTCCCGACCCCTCCACAGCTCCCCGCAACTCCACGCCCCGGCTGCCGCAGGTCAGGGTGCACACAGGGCTGGTCCCAAGGGGCCCCCAGCTCCTCGTCCTGCTGCCCGCCCGGGGGGCAGGGCCTCCCAGAGGCTCTGACACGTCCTCGCGCGCTTGCGGGGAGCCGGGAGCGGAGCTCAGGCCAGGCTGCCTCAGGGGCTCGCCTTGGCATTTTAAAAGCCGGCCTGACTTTCCTGAAGGAGAAAATATTATTCCTCAGAAAACAAGGGTGTCCTTCCTCTTCCGCGCGCTCGCGGCACACAGAGGCGGCGCTGGGCACGCCAGGACTCGGCCCTCACCTCGTTAAAGTTTAATTCTCATCAGTGGACAGACACGGCTTCACCGTGGACTGGGGCGCGAGCCAGTGTGCACGCGGAGTGGGTGGGGGCTGGGCTGGGCTGGAGCCGCCCAGAGGCGCCCGCTGGGTGGGCGCTGCTGTGGGTGCTGGTATCTGCACCCTGGGACACTGGCAGCGGCAGCCACGGGCAAGAAGCATGGGGGGAGGCCTGGGGGCTGAGTCTGGGACCCTCGTGCCTCCTTGAGGGGTGAGGCGGGGCTGTTGTGTGGCCTGCTGAACCCCGCTCACCTGCGAGCTGGCCCTGAGGCTCCTGAGCCCCCTTTAAATGCTGCTGCCCCACAGGTCTGGTATCCACTGCTGGGTATAGCAGGGCTGGACTCCCGCGACCCCGGCAGGTGCGGCCCGAGTCTGTGGCACCTCACCATGTGGGGGGCTACACACCACCATGCCCTGCACTGACCCCCAAAGGTGGGGCGTGCAGACCCTTCAGCAGACTGGGCTGGACCTCCCACCCGCCCCCCCCAGAGCTCACACCCCTGCCTGCGGTGCTGGCCATGGCCTTAGGCATCCTCTTCTCGCACTGTCCACTAACCACAGGCCCCACTGCGAACACCCCGCTGGGGTGGCTGCTCCCAGCTGGGGGCCCTGAAGGCAGGAGGTGGCCGCTCAGCAGTCCCCTCCGACGCGCCTCAGCACTGTGCGGGTCTGGGGAGTGGAGCCTGCCCAGCTGGGCGCGGCCTCCCGAGGACAGGGCACAGCTGTCAACAGGAGCAGCCTGACCTGGGCGCGGCCCGGCCACCCGTGGGGACACCCACACCCTGGTCCCCGCGGGCTTCTCTGGCCAGCGCTTGCAGACTGTGCCTCGGGGCGGAACTCGGGGGCTGGACTCGGAGCCAGCGGCCATCCTGTGTCACGCGTGGACTGGGGCGCAGCCCTTGCTTCCCTGCGCGGGAGCTGTTGTCTGGCCTGGGGTTGGGTCTGGGTGTCGCTGCGAGCATCGCCCGGCTGGGCGCTGGCCTTGGAAGAGGAGGCGCGGGGGCTGCACCCAAGGGTGTCGTCTCGGGCTCGCTGCCTCCCGCGTCCCGAGGCTTCGCTTTGGCGGGTTTCATGTCTCCGCTGGCGGAATCACTACGATCGCAGCTAACGCATCCTGGCTTCCCAGCCTGGGAGTGGTGTGGGCTCAGGCTGGACACCAGGGCCGCAGCCGTCTGGGCTCCTGGTTGGGTCCTCCCGGGGAGGGGGCGGCCCCCAGTGGCCACGGGCCCTGGGTGAGGCAGTCGCGCTTGCTCTGTGGGCGCGCGTGGGCTCCCACCGCCACTCCTGTGTGCCCCGCCTTTCAGCAGAGGCAGAGAGCGGGACCACGGCGCCTCTGTCTTTTCCTGGCAGCTGGCCGTGGGCCGGGCGCCACGCCTCACAGCATCCCCCCGGGAGCGACTCCTCCCGAGCGGCGGGGTGGGGGCCTGCGTGGGGTCCCGTGCTCCCAGCCCACTGCCCTGTGCCTCCTGGGCTCCACCCCGTGGCCCGCCGCAGCTCGTGGGGAGAGCGAGACCTGGGCGGGGTGTGCCAGGCCTCCCTCCGTCACTGGGGCCACCCGAGGCGCTTCTCTATGGTGAGATTCGGCTGCTCCTGGGCTCGAGGTCGCTCCGAGCCTGGGTCTCTGTCTGAGTCGGGCCCTGCCCGTGTGCCCAGGGCTGGTCTGGCGCCCTCTGTGCCGCGCCTGTTCATGCGTGCCGCCTGCCCTCGCCGCCCTGTCGCCTGCCCTCTCTGACGGCACCGGCGTGTCTTGGCTCCTGGACGGCGACGCCGGGCCGAGGGGACGAGGGGCCTGCTGGCGGCTCCGCCGGCCCGGACAGCCCTGGGGCCACAGTGTGGCGAGCAGGCAGCCCCGGCGGCCGTGTGGGGCAGCTCCCGTGGCTCGGAGCTTGGGCGCGGTCATCTGCGCCGTAGTCTCGGGGCCGCCGCTCCCGGGGCCGCCGGGCCGTGTCCCTCCTGCCCCGAGGGGGCGCGTCCCGCCCCGGCCCTGCCGGGGGTGGCGGGGCTCCTGGTGTGCGGCTGGTGCCACGTGCAGTCCATTTCTCCCCTGGCCCCATCCAGTCCCGGAGTTTCCCGGGTGAGCCGAGACCCAGCCCAGCCGTCATGGCCTCCAGATACCCGCGGGGCTCGGCCCAGCCCCAAGGCGCCGAGGCGGCTGCTCTGAGACGGCTGCTCTGAGACGGCTGCTCTGAGACGGGCAGGGAGCGGTTGTGAGCGTGGCTTTGGAGTGACAAGACCTTGGGCTCCCTGGTGCCCAGTCCAGGGCCCAAAGCAGTGTCCGGATGGGCTGGGGGCGGCCCTGCCCTGCCGGGGGGCCGGCTTCCTCCCTCAAACGGGGCTGGCCGGCTGCGCGCTCCTGGCTGCTGGGGCTCTGGGGCTTTCACTCAGGCGGACGCTTGGGGGACACGGGGGAGGTGACTGTGGGGGACAGTTCTCGGGGAGTGGATAAGCGACGCCCCAACTGTGCGGCCTTGCTGGCGCTGTCCCGGTCCTGCCGTGGGAGTGGCCGCTGGGGGCTGCCCCAGGCCTGTGGTGCTCCGACCTGCCTGTACTTCCCGTGTTTCTCTCGGAGATGAATGTCTCATCTCGGTGTGCGTGAACCTGGGAAGATGGGGCGCCGTGTCTCCCGCGCCCGAGGCCCTGTCCAGGGGGCTGTGGCGGGCAGCTCAGTGGCCTCCCGTGCGCGCCGGGCCCTCCGGAGTGCCTGGGGGAAGCAGCGGGCGCCTGCCTGCGCCTGATGGCTGCTTCCCCGCGAAACTGTGGCCACCGGGCTTTGCTCACTCAGGCACCTGACCCCACCGTGCCTGGGTCTTCTCGGCATGGCCTCGCGCTGCCCGCCGGGCAGGGCCCCCTGCAGTGCTCGCTGAGCCAGCATCCCTGTGCGTGGGCGATCGTGGGGCGGCTCTGCCCGCCCCTCCCCGGCGCCCGCGGGGCTCCCTGGCTGTGCTTGTCCTCGACTTGGCCACCTGCGGCGTCCCATGGCTCCCCACGTGGCCTGGCGTTCATTGGCGTCACAGCTCCTGCCAAAGGGGCCCGGGCCGCCCTGGGCACGACCCGCTTCTCCCCAAGCCAGTGGAGCCGGTGCCACCTCCACGCGGGACCTCGCAGCCTGCCGGGCTGACTCTGCGGGAGCAGCACGAGCCCCGCCCGCCGCCCGCGTGCTCTTCCTCCCGGGCGAGCGGGCGTGGCGGCCGGGCCCCTCTGGGCTGCTGGGGGGGTCCTGGGCCGGCTCCAGCATCTGCAGGGGGCGGGGGGCCCCTGCAGTCTAAAGACAGGTCGGGAGGGAGAGGCTCTCCCTCGCCAGCGCCTGCCCAGCGTTCTCTAGACGTGGGCGTGTGTCCTGGTTCCCGAGGCGGCCAGCGCAGGCCTGCGGCCGTCTGGGCCTTGGGGCTGCTGGGCTCTTGGGCGGCGGGGGCGGGGGCGGGGGCTGTGCTGCTGTTTCTGTTATCTGAGTGCATGTGGGCCCAGAAAAGCTGCGATAACCCCGTGGGGATAGCCAAGAGCCTTGGGCCGAGTCCCGGCGCCCAGGGTGGGGCTGCCGTGCGCCAGGCCGCCTCGCTTCCTCTCAAGGGCCCTGCGTGCTGCGGTGCCTCCCCACGCGCCCGTGGCTGGTCCAGGCCGTCCTCCTGAGAGCAGGACGGACGCCGCCCGCTGGGCCCGAGTGTTTGCTGGGGACCCGGTCGCTGAAGCCGATGCTCTCTCTGTCCTGCAGATGGACTGTCTGGCCGAGACCAGCCCGTGGAGCTGCTGAGCCCTGCCCGCGTGACCCACATGCCCGGCTCGGGTAAGTCCGTGCTCGGCGGCTTGCGTGGTGAGGGGTGGGCGGGCCCAGGGCCCGGAGGGTCCAGCACTCCCTGATCCCGCAGGGCTGTGTCTTGGGGTGAAAAGGTGCGGGCCAGAGGCGCCCCCTGGGCCCTTTTAGCCCCAGCTCCAGGGGTGTCTCCTTCCCGTTTTGGGGGTCAATGGGGTCTCACCCAGGGCACAGCATGGGGCCACGTGGCAGAAGTGCTGCTTGTGCAGGCTTTCTGTGGGTAAACCGAGTCCCCAACACCGTCTCCAGGGGGCCCACTCTCCCTGGCCCGTCCTTGGCCAAGGACATCAGCGTGACCCTCAGTCTCGGGCTCCACCCAACGCCCCTCGTGGTGCAGACCTACGAGGTGTGGGTGCGCCCCCTCCTCGTGCTGTAGGACTCCCCCGCTGTGGCCTCTGACTCCACCTCAGAGTGGGGGTGCTCCTCCCTGCAGGCCAGTTCCAAGGATGAACTCGAGGCTCCAGGCGGCAGGGGCTCTGCAGCGGCCTTTGGTGGGCAACCCTGCCGGCCCCTCCTGGACCCGCCCCCCAGGCCGCTCTGTGCCCCTCCGTGGGCCACCGGGGCAGGGAGGCCCCCACCTTCCTGCCGTGCGCTGGCCACGCTGCTGTCCCCACCCACCCACTCCGACAGGAGGCCGCCCGCCCCAAAAGCGGCTCCTCCCCACGGCCAGCGTCTCGCAGAGCCCCGCCACACTCCCGTCCCTCCGCCCATGGCTAGGCAGGCACCTCTGGACCCTGCGCCCCAGGCGGGCGGGCATCAGTGCCGCAAACCCCGTCTCTGCGCCCAGCTTGCAGCCCGCAGTGACGTCCAGCCTGTGTTCCCCAGGCTGCTGGCGTGGCCGAGAACGGGGTGGATGTGCCCTTCCAGGCGCCTGCGGGGTGGGTGCCCAGGGCCTCAGGCTTCGGGACAGACCCTGGGTTCCGGGCTGGGGCAGAGGGGACGCCTCCTGGCCAGCCCCCTCCCTCCCCACCACGGCCCGTGCTGAGGCCGCAGCTCCTGTGTGTCCTCCGCAGGCCGTGCCTGGAGGGGCCGCCCTCCCGTCCCTTGGAGATGGCGTGTGATGCCCAGTGGCCAGGACCTTTGGTCAGGGCGGCCCCCGTGCCGCTCCCTCTTCCTCAGGCAGAGCGCCTGACCCGAGAGGCCGCGCATGGGCAGGTGCCCGCGAGACGGGGGCCCTGTGATCTCTTGGTGGCCAGAGCCCACCGGGCGGAAGGACAGCACTGCCGGGGGTGCATCCGCTTGGGCTTGGTGGCTGTGCCCTCCTGGCGGGGCAGCGAAGCCCCGGGGAGCTGCGGGGCAAGAGGCACGCTCTTTCGGCTGCTCCCACCCGCGTGTCGCGCCGCGGAGAAGTGTCAGCCGCATGAGGGCTGTTGCATGAGGGCTGTCAGTTGCACGAGGGCTGAAGTTCAAAGTGAAGACTCGGAAGCCATGCTTTATGCCGTGGGCGAGACTCGATTTCTGAGGCGTTTGCCCGTCCCGCTGCCCGTTGCTCGGTTCGCAGCCGCGCAGTCCCGGCGCTCAGCGGCCGTGGGCAGGGGAGTGCCCCGGCCGCCCACGCCTCACCCCTCGCCTCCGGCCCTTCCTCGTGCCCCTGGCCCTGGCTCCCGGGATGCCGCGGGCCTGCCCGCCCCTCCAGGCGCTTCGGGCGCCTTCTCATGCCGTCTGGACGGAGCCCCCAGCTGGGGCATGAGGTCACCGGTCAGAAAGTCCAGGCCGTGGACAGGAGCAGCCCGCGCCGCCCGTCTTGAGGCCTAGGGCCCCCGCGGACCGCTCTCTCTGACGGCCGCAGAGTCTTGTCGTGCCAGATGGGAACGGTCACCCTTGGCCCCCCAGGCCGGGCAGGCTCTGAGTGTGGCTAGTGTTGGCACCCCCGCTGGCTAGCGCCCCCTTCTCTTTGCGGAGCAGGTGTGACGTCGTCTGCTGGGACTCGTCCTCACCGGTGCCCGGTCCTGTGCATGGTGCCGCAGCTGGGGCGGGGCGGGCGGCCTGGGCACAGGCCGGGGCTGGGGGGTGAGAAGGTCACCAGGAGGGGCGACTGTCGGGCCCACCTGGGGCCGTGAGCTTGGATAACGGGGAGTGTTTTGTGTCTGGGTCAGTGTCGCTTCTTTTTAAGCACTAGACCTTTTCCCGCGTCTTCAAAGGTGGGGGCAGCAGGGGGGTGCAGCTGGACGTGGGCGCCAGCACGGCAGGGGCGCTCCCGCTGATGGGGTGCCGGGGTGAGGGCAAAGCTCAGGGGATGGCGGGTGCCGGCAGGGCGCTCCTCCCCAGCACCCACTGGTGCCAGGGGGCGTGCCCAGGGCTGCCCTCGGTCACCCACTCACTCCTGCCAGCCTTAGCCGCTCTGGCAGAGGGGGGTCCTCGGAGGCACAGTGGCTTCCCAAGCTCACCAGCCTGTCCACTCGGGGGCAAGGACCTACTTCTGTGTGGGGGCGTGTCGGGAAGAAGTGGCCGCTTCGGGGAACGTTGTGCACCTCCGGCCTCAGGGACAGGGCGCGGCCCTGAGCGGCATCTCCGGGGTTCTCAGGCGCAGAGGCTGCCGTCTCCCCGTGCACGCGCCGCCCTGCAGCCAGTGGCTTTCTCTGCAAGGATCTATGCCAGAGCCGGACTTTTTAAAAGAAAACACTGGAATCCTGCAGGAACCGGAGAACTTACCCAAGCCGATAGAAAGTGAGGTCTGGCTGGGGCCGCAGGACGCACGTACCTCTCGGCCGCCCGCGTGGGGCCTGAGCTGCTGGGCACCCCAAGTCCTGGCGCAGGTGCCAGCGGGGCCTGCGCTTCCCGGCCCAGGCCTGCTTTGCTGTTGGGCTGGTGTGGGGGAGGAAATGCACAGCCAGCGGGCGCCAGACGCAGGGACGGCGCGTCAGCGCACCCTGGCTGGCCCGGGAATGCGCCTGGCCCTCCTGTGTGTTTCCATGTGAACCTGGCATTTCTGGGCTGGGGCGGGGGGCGGGGGGGGTGCAAGGTGGGATCGCAGTCGCCTCTGGGCCGCCCCTGCATGGTGCCCCGCGGCTGGCGGGAGGCCGTCCGTGTCTGCTCGAAATCGAGAGGAAGTGGACGTCTGGGGCGTAAAGGCATCGTGGGAAGAGACGTCCACAGCTGGAGCGGCTCAGTTTAAAGGAGTGTTGAGTTTCCCGCTCCCCTCCTGGGGGCTGGCTTGGGGTCTGTGGCTTGCGCCCCATCCCCCTGGCCCGCAGGAGGGCGGCGGCTGCGGCAGCCTCCTGTGCCCCGGCCTAGCAGCTCTGCGCTCCTCTCCTGGGCCACCCTGCCCTCCGCGGGCCCCGCACCTGTCGCCGTGAGTCCATCCGTCAGACACGGGGCTCTTCGCCGGGGTTTGGGGCTTGAAGTCGGAAAGCGCGGGCTCCCTTGGAGTGGGGCCTCGCCCCTGCCCGCAGCCCTCTCTGGGCCGTGGCGCCGGCCTGGCTGTGCCTGGGTGCGCGGGAGTCTCTGGTGCCCTCCACACCCGCCCGGGGTCGCCACGAGAGCGGCTCTTGCCGCTGCCGCCCGTGTTGACCCTGGCTGACGGCAGCTACCGGGGCGGCTCTGTGCCCACCCCACCCGTCCCATCCGCTCTCTGTTCCGCGCCCCCTGTGTGGTCCTCCCGGCACAGCAGCCGGTGCCCCGCAGGACTGGCCTGTCGCCTGCTCGGCGTCTGCTCGGGGCCGGCCCTGGCCAGCTGGTGTTTCGACCTCAGGCTGTGGCCGGCTCCTCCCACCCCGGCTCTTGGCTCTGGCGCTGCCGGTGGCACAGGAGGACACTGTTGCTTTACTTCCTGCCCAGCCCCACTTCTGCGCCTATTCTCGGGCAGGCATGTGCTGAGCCTCAGGCGCTTGCTTCGGGCTCCCTGCGGGCGCTGCTCTGCAGCGCCCCGGCCTCTGCTGGCCCCTCGACGGCTCTGGCCTCTTGGGCACCTGGCAGGGATGCCATGTCCACCTGCACGGCTGCTCCCGGGCTTGGCGCCTGCGCGGGCGGCTGCGGCACGCACCCTCCCACCCCTCTCAGCTGTCTGAGTTTGTGAGTTGTGGGGTTATTTTTGGTTCAAGGAAATAAAGTGCCCACGCTGCCACTTCCCGATCCAGTCTCCTGACGCGGCCCCGGCGCCTCCGAGACGCGAGAATGTTGGGGCTCTGGGCTTCTCGGTTCTTACCCCATGCTTTGGCTTGTTTCTCCACGTGTAGAGGATTTAAGCCGTGTCAGGTCGCACGGTCGGTCCCGGAGGCCCGTCCGCGGGCAGCACGCGCGGCGTGGACAGGCGCGCCCTGCAGCTGCCAGCGTGGTCTGCAGGCTCCACCACCCTGCAGATCGCCCAGGACTCTGCTGGGTAGACAGCGTCTGGGGCCGCCTCCAGCCCTCGGCAGCGAGAGCCTGTCCTCCAGGCCAGGGCGAGGCACGGCCCCACACGCGCGCAGATCCTGCCGCTGCCGCGTCCTCCGGGTCAGGCGCTGGGGCATCTTGTGGTGGTGGAGGACGAGGTGGGTAGACCCTGCGCCCCGCAGCGCTTGTGCCTGCTGAGACTCGGATGCGCGTGAGGGGGCTCAGAGGGCGCCTCTTCTTGGGAGCACCGCGGTGAGCAGGTGGCAGCGCTGCCGAGTCCTGGCCTCTGTGTCTGCTGCTGGAGCCTGGCCAGCCGCCTGCGCCTAACGCGGCCCCAGGGGCAGCCTTCTGGACGCTGGTGGGGGGCTACGTCGCCCCGGAGTGACAGGGCAGGGTGAGGCGAGGGCCAAGCCGCGGAGCATGGCCCTGGGGCACATTCCCCACCGGAGCAGGGGGTGTGCGGGCTGGGGCGCGTGGAGCCGGCGTCTGGGGGAGCACGGGGCGTGGTCCTGCTCTCGGAGGCGGCGTTCAGGTCGCCGCGACGGGCGCAGGCGTGGTCCGCGTGTCCCGCGTGCGGGGCGGGGCCGGAGCAGGCATCTCGGCCCAGACCCAAGCGCGCCGCGGACACAGGGTGCGCACACACCGAGGGGCTGCCTGGCTGT